ATTTTACACTTTCAGTACATCATCCATTTTCTTCTATAAAAATTTAAAAAAGTGTTTTAAAAGATAAAAACCAATTAATAATAGACTTAGTGTAATATATCATGTTAATATAAAAATTAAAAAATAGTAAAATATATGTATGATGTTTGGTTTAGTTTTATTTGTTTTGATTTATTTTGATTTTGAAAATTCAACATAAAAATAATTTGATCCATCGATTTTTATAAATGTTCTGGATTAGTCCAACGATTAGAGTGGGTTCAGTCTGACCTCCTTCTTCGACACGCCCATGCGACCATGGCCTGGGCTCCTCCGCCCTCCGTCGGGCATCATCGATCGTTTATCCTCCTGAACCAGCACTGACCTACGACAATCGACGAGCGTCTCTCAGTCTTTCCAACCTCAAGTCGGCCAGACAACCAGGAATCGACCAGACCGCTGCCTATAACCTACCTCCTCCTCGGAACTAACGGCTAGTTACAGGCACACCTGTCCGGTTTGACTAAGTTCTGACAGTTACATATTTTTGCAGACCCACGCATCTATACCCAAAAATAGGGACTAATGGGAAAGCGCCAAGGGCACTATATAAACCCTCACTCATGCGAGGATCGAGTATCGAATATTGACTATTCATCATTAAAACCCTCATACTTTGCTTGTATCTCTTTTTTCTCCCACACTTACTTAATCGTCGGAATGCCTTGCAGGTACAACCCCCCTTTTTCCTCCTTGACTTTCCAGCTCGTCTGATGATCATCATTCGGTTACCTTGCAGGTTCTTATCAACCAGTAAGATCAGTGGTGCAGTCTGTGGGAAATTTTTCCCCCGTTTTCTATTCCTAGAATCTGAAGACCAAAGATCCTCTCCATTTATCAATCACGGCCGATCACTGTGATCACCACCTATCTGGAATGATTGTGCTCTCCCTGGAGCGCAAGACCAACGGAAGCCAAGAACATCCTCACCTCGAGGATAACTTTGGGCCCTGTGACAGACATACTGCATCCTCGAATTCCATCGACGCTGATTGCGACAACAATCTATTCTTAGACGAACAATTTCCCAAGAACCCTGTCGAACAACAGTTGGAGATTCTGCAATCGGTCCCTGTTCTACAGAACTCTATCCCAACCATAGCAGCATTGATCGCTGCCCTTAACCGAACTAACTCCCTCATCCTCCAGCAGAGCAAAGGGATGGGGGCTCTGGAGCGGAAACAATCAAGGTCTCTCCTTCAGAGACACCAACGATATAACTCTTCCAGCATATCACCTCCCCGAGAGGGGCGTCCTCCAAGAATGGAAAGGCTTGACGTTTCTTTCCGCAAGAAGCGTGATCGAGCATCTCCCAAGAAGGATAAACTTTCTAAGAAGACAAAGAGCACCTGCAAAGACAACTGCATCAGGTTACTATCACCCAAACTGAGGCGACGAGGGCATAGCCCCTCCCCTCGACGGGATGACGACGCCCGGCAAGGAAGAATCCATCACTCCCCGCCATCATTTCCAGAAGATACTGATGACGACGAGCCCCACTGTCTGTTATCGAAAGAAATTATGGAGACACGACTCCCGGTCGGGCTCGAGAAGCCTCCCCCGTTGGGATCCTACGATGGTATGACCGATCCAGATGACCACATAGAAGACATTGACGCCCAACTTGCTTATCGAGGCTTGAAGGGTGCGATCAAATGCAGGTTGTTTGAAACAACTCTTAGAAAAGGAGCAATGTCTTAGTACAAAAACCTCCCCAACCAATCCATCAGCTCATGGAAGCAGTTAGGGAAGATGTTCTCGAGGCACTTCACTGCCTCTCACCGTCATCCAAAGACAGAGGCCTCGCTAGAAACGATCATACAAGGAAAAGAATAATCTCTCCGAGCATACATTGAGAGTTCAACAGAGAAGTCATTCAGGTCTCCACGACTGACAATATGAAAAAGTACTTGCTCGAGCAAGGGATGCACCCCCGCAGCGATTTTTCCAAAGCAGTTTAGAAAACCGGCCACACTAGACGCCCTCCTCCTCAAATCCCAGGCGTACATCCAGTACGAGGAGAAAGTGATTGCAAATTATACTCGGCATCGCAGTAGAAATGACTTCACCAGCCTCCTCGACGAGAGGAGCTCATAAACAAACCATGTTCCCCGCGAACACAACCGCTTAACAGGCACATGTTTCCCACAAACACAACTGCCGAGCAGACACATGTTCCCCGCGAACACAACTGTTGAGTGGGTAGATATTCCTCGCGAACACAACTTCTCAGTAGGCACACATTCCCCGCGAATACTCCAGCCTAACGAGCATACGTTCCCCACGAACACAACTTCCGAGCATACATCATGTTGAAGCTCGCGAGAATAGAGGAAGATCAAGTCCATCATCCAAGAGATGGTATCGTGTCTGAGCAAGAACGAAAATGGGGCATACTATCTCGAGAACCTGCACGGGGAACAACTTGCTCAACCTTGGAACACCAAAAAACTAAAGAAATATTACAGTTAAGACACTGATACAGTTTGTGTGTCTCGTTGAAACAACGAACACAGTTTGTACGACCACATATGCATGCCCAGATACAAGCATGGCACTCAAAATTAAACAAAGAGGCAAGTCTCTACTCATTTAATGAGCAGATTCTTAGCCCGACGTGGAAAACTCAAACGAGCTCCACCGCCGTCGTACCACGATGGCAGAAGACCCAGCTCGCGATGGGAAGTTCACGTCGCCGAGCTCGGGCCTTTAAAACGAGACTTGAGTTCCGACCCATGCCAGGTGATCACCTTGGCCGTTTGACCAGTCACCCACACTGGAAGACTCAAATACTAACGAGCAAATCCCCGAAACTCTTGATCAAAATAAAATGTCTCAGGCAGACAAGCATACAAACATGCATAAACCTAATAAATAATAATATACCACGTACGGGCATGTCCTCGTAAAGATCACGAAACGTCCTTGTTGCGAACAACAAGTGCCAACAACGCGTTTTCCTCCTCGGCGCACGGATGACTCTAAGTCATCACTCCTATACCTAGAAGCAATGACTTAGGGGGCTACTATTATGGATTGGCCCAACGGCTAGACTGGGCCCAGTCTGACCTCCTCCTTTGGCACAACCCATGCGACCATGGCCCGGGCTCCCCCGCCCTCCGTCGGGCACCATCGATCGTTTGGCCTCCTGGACCAGCACTGACCTACGACAATCGACTAACGCCTCTCAGTCTGTCCGACCTCAAGTCGGCCAGACAACTTGGAACCGACCAGACCACTGTCTGTAACCTACCTCCTCCTCGGAACTAACGGCTAGTTGCGGACACACCTGTCCGGTTTGACCAAGTCATGACAGTTACTTATTTTTGCGGACCCGTATATCTAGGTCAAAAAATAGAGAACAATAATCAAGCGTCAGAGACACTATATAAACCTTCACTCATGTAAGGGTCAGGTATCAAATATTGCCTATTCATCACTAAAATTTTAATACTTTATTTATATCTTTTTATTCTCACACTTTGTTGATCATTCATAAAAATCGATTTTGTGTTATTTTTAATTGAGAATAATTGTTACACACTATCCCTATAAAAATTTTACATCCGTAAATTCATCATAACTATTTGTTTGTGTTATTTTATAAGTGTTTAATTTGTAAATTTTTTTGAATATCAAAATTAAACTTTTTTGAAAAATCATTTTATTTTAAAACTATTTCATAAAAAATATTTTTAAAATATATATATATATATATATATATATATATATATATATATATATATATATATATATATATATATATATATATATATTTTAATTTTAAAAAATTGTAATTTCAATTATGTATTGATTTTTAATAATATATATTTATGTTATAGAATGTTAAAATTAGTCTTTTTATTTAAAAAAATATATAATTCTTTTTGTAATATTTTAAAAATTCATTTAATAAACAGAAAAAAATTATTTTTTTAACAGCTAAAACATGCCTGATTTGGATTTGAATAAGAATACCCCATCCTCAACTTTTGATACAAGTCACTTTCATAAATACTAGTATATTACTTGCACGTACATATTAGATTTATTTATGAAATAAATGTGAATCAATCAACAAATTTATGTAGGCTACGTAGTTTTTATTTAAATAATTATATGCATGAAGCGTGCCTAAAATGATGAATCATCTTTCTTCTTAAGTTGATTCATCATCCATTATTTTCTTCTAGCAGGTGGGGTTGGTTTACTCCCTTAATTAATGCTAGTTAGTTACACTATAGTATTTCATTATTTTCAACTTTAAACGTTCAATCTATTAATCTACTTGTATTTTTATTTAATATGTCTAAATCACAACTTATTGTTTTTTTTCCAAATTAAAAAAAAAAAAAACCTAATTTATAATTAAAAAAATCATTATATTAGAAGAATTTTTCCAAATTGAATTGTCATTCAAACACCCCTACAATCCCTGTGAATCTAGTGAGAAGAATTTTTCTCTTCAGTTTCCCAAAGAGCATTCAACACACTGGCCTCATTGAAACCAATCAATAACAGAGTCCGTTTTCATTTCTATTCTCTAAAACGTATCAAACATTTTTATATGCCACAAAACCTAGTCAAAATCAAAACCAAAACCAAAACCAAAACCTCGTTTCTTGGTTTTCTTAATAATAATCACACGTTGCTTTCTTTCCTTGTCCTTCTCTGCTAAATCTTCTCCTACAATCTCGCTTTTTTTTTTTTGGGTCCAAACACAAATTATGCCTCTAAGATCTTATTTCATAAGTTAGAGAAAGAGTCCACTTTTCCACTGTCAATGTTCCATTTGAAATTCTCCATGCTCTTAATTTGTTTTGGAAATTTTCATGGACACAAAAACAAAACCTTTTTTCAAAAGTTGAATTGCATTGAATGATGTGTCATGTGACCCTTTTTAATGCTTAAGAAGAACTCTATAATCTACATTGGTTTTTCATCAACAAAATTTGTTTTTTATGAAAGGAAACATGTCTTTTGCTTTTGGTTCTACCAGGGTTTTCATCAGCAATTATGTGTTCTATTTGTTTGGATTGATACTCAAATACTTCTTCAGGTTTGGTGAAATTTGCTTTGTTTTTTTGAGGTTGTTTTGTTTATTATAAGTACATAGAAAAAGAGTGATGTTTTTTTTTTTTTTTCTTCAGGTTTCTTAATTTAGGAGATGCAAAAAAAGATCTTATTGATTCACCATCATATGTAAATTTTGATGATTCTACTAAGATTGATGGTTTCTCAGAGGAGCTGGCAAATTTCCTATTTTGGAGTGAGGATTTTCATCAAGGAGAAACAGATTGCTCTGTTTTTATGGATCATGTTCATGATGAAAAAACAGAGTACTCTGTTTTAAAGGAGATTCACTATGGTTTTCATGAAGGTTGTGTGAAAACAGAGGTGTACAGGGATAACTCTGTTTTGAAGGAGATTGAAGATGGTTTAGAGAGAATTGAGAGTGAAATAGAAGATGAAATTTTCATGGAGAGTGAGTCTTCAAACTTTGTTGTTCATGAAGATGATAAGGAAAATGGAGGGGAAGATGAAGGTTTTGGTTCCAATGATCAAGAAATTGAAAATGGTCTTCATAATGATTATATGAAGTTAGAAGAAGAGAAAGAAGAAGAAATAGGAGGAGATTCTCTTGTAGAGATTGACTATGATGTTGATGAAAATGGAAGAAAAATTGAAGAAATTGAAACAGAGTACTCTGTTTTCTCTGATGTTATTGAAGATGGTAACAAAATAGATGAAAAAGATTTAGAGGTTGTGAAAGATGATGAGTTTGAGATTCATGATGTTAATGATAAAATGGATGAAATTGAATCAGAGTTATCGATTTTTGGTGACGAGGGTTTCGATGTTGATGGTGATAGTAAAATGGAAGAAGAAACAGAACAAAGAACAGAGGAATCTGTTTTGGTGGAGAGTGAGACAAAAACAATAACCACAAGTAAGTATGAATTCTCATCAGAAAAAGATATAAGTGGATTTGTAGAAGAACCAATGACATTTCAATTTAGTTTTCGAGAGTTTTTCGTGAGTCCGAATATTTCATCCATTTCCAATAATGTGCACAAGGAGTTTTCAAACATTGATTCAGAAAAAGACATTGTAACTGAAAAACAAGAAGAAAAACAAGAGTCTATTCATTCAACCGATAATCAGCTTCTTGGTGGAATTGATTCATCTGATGAAGATTATTTCATTTTCAATGAAAGTTCAGTGACATCAGATTCTGAGTCAGAATCATCTAGCTTAAGTGGTTTGATTTGGAGCAATAGCAACATCAACAAAATTGATGATTCATTTTCCTATCACTTTCTTGGTAGCGAAAATGGTAGCGAAAAATTTGAGTCGGAGATTCTAAAATTGATGATGAGAGATGAAAGAAAAGAAGGTGTGGATGAAAACCCCTCTTCATTTGATGATAAAGTTTCAAACTTTGAGGTTTTTTCTGAAAATGAGTATATAGAAATGGAACCTAACATGAAGGGTTTGAAATCTTTTATAGAACATGGTTTTGAAGTGAAAGATGAACAAGAAGGTATGAAGAAAAGTAAAGAAGCTAAGTTTGAAGAAGAATTGAATGAATCTGAATCCGAATCTGATGAAGATGATTTTGAATGGGAGCATGAAGATATAGTGGAGCAATTGAAGTTAGAATTGAAGAATTCTAGACAAGGTGGACTTGCCACAATCATAGAAGAAGTTGAAGATGAAGATGAACAAGAACAAGAAGAAAAAGAATCACCAAAAGTGGTTCAAGAATTGAAACCAATGAAAATTGAAGTGAAGTTACTTGAATACAAGGATCAAATGAATGAGATTGAAAAAGTTCACAACAACTATGCAGAGAAAATGAGGAAGCTTGATATCTTGAATTACCAAACCATGCATGCATTAGGTAAGAACTAAACTTGCTTATTTTCTTAAATTCTTGCAATTTTGAGCATTTTAGATTCATGCAATATATCATTGTTTTTGGTAAATTTTGTTGCTTTAAGATCAAAACATGAAATCTTAGATCATATATGCTTAATCACAAATTTTATTTTTTTCACACTTCAAAATTTGTAAATTTTTAAGTCTTTTCTTATCTAATTTCATAAAAAAAAAATTCTTGATGAACTTTTATCATGAAACTCAATCATCTTGAAAGATTTTAGTATGGTGGGCCATTGTTCATCTCACACCCAACACATGTATCTCATTATGTGTCCATAAAGTTATGTTCTTTATTTATTTAATAGTTAACCTAGAGATAGTGACAAATCTACATCATGAATTTAAATTCATTTTTTTTACTATTTTGAATGTAATTTAATTTACTTTCTCTAGCAGTCTTTTTCCCTATTCTTCATAGGTTTACTTTTTTATTATACACTAAAGACATCAAAATCAGTGAATAAGATTTGTTCTCTTTTTTCTTCTTAAGCATTCAATAAAGTTGAATAAAGAACCTTCAAATTACTTTAAAGTTTTGACTAGGATTGGTTTCTAATATTCTACTCTAAGCAAAGAAACCTTATTTATGTAGCACTAATCAATGATCATGTTTTTCCTTTGATTATTATTATGACTAATTCATTTCACTTTACCCTTAATTGTTGTAGGCCTTCTTCAACTAAAAGACCCTCTTAAGTTAATTTCAATACCAAAATCCACCATCTCAAATGCAATAATCTCACAAAATTTATGGCCAAGAAAATCAACAAAGATCACATCTGACCCATTTTTGAAACTTGTTCATCAACTTCATAGAGATTTGGAATTGGTGTATGTTGGACAAGCTTGTCTCTCATGGGAAATTCTATGTTGGCAACACATGAAAGCTATTGAGTTACAACAATATGATTCACAAGGGCCTCATAGGCATAGGTATAACCATGTTGCTGGCGAATTTCAACTTTTTCAAGTATTGATGCAAAGGTTCATAGAGAATGAACCATTTCAAAGTGGATCAAGGGTACAAAATTATGTCAAAAACCGCTGTGTAATTAGAAACTTGCTTCATGTTCCAGATATAAAAGGTAACGTGTTTCTTTAGTTAAATATATTTTTAGTTTCTATAAATATTGTCTGCAAATCTCAGTTCAAAGGGTAAAAGTTCGTAGTATTAGGTTAGATGTCATCATCAATGTTGAAATCCGAATACTCACATTTGTGTGTTTGTTTTTAGTAATTATATTAACCCTTTGTCTACGTATATAAAAAATAGCATATTATTACTATAAGGCGATACTAAATTTTGTGCTTGAATGTGATTGATATAGATGATAGTAAAGGGGGCGAGGAAGATCCTATTGCAAGTGGAAAGTTGGAAGATATCATAAAGGAATCAATGCGAGTGTTTTGGGAATTTGTTCGAGCAGATAAAGATAATGGGAATGTGAATGTGATTTCAAAGCATATTGGAAGTGATCTCAAAGACCCTTCAATTTCAAATCTTCTAATGGACATTAGAACACAACTACAAAAGGTGATACTTATGAAAACACTTTTCTAAAAAAGCTATCAATTAATCAATTAATTGTATACAATATTTCAATCTCGTGTTACATTTTGCAGAAGGATAAAAAGCTGAAAGACATAATAAGAACTGGAAATTGCATAGTGAAGAAGTTCCAAAAGCACCATGAGGATCAACTTGATCATGAGCAACTAGTTGCACAAGTTGGGTTGAGATTGATTTCAAGGGTGATAAACATGTCACAATTGAGAAAAGAACAAGTGCTATGGTGTAGTGAAAAGTTGAACCGAATCAAATTTTTAAGCAAGAAGATTGTTCATGTTGAACCTTCTTTTTTGCTTTTTCCATGTTGATTCAATCAACTTAGATATATACTTTTTTTTCTTCTTCCTTTTACATAAAATGATATACTAGCTTAAATAGAAATGGTAGAGTCGTTACAAAATTCTCAGCTTTTGTATTATTGTATATGTTGTTATAGAACTGTTGAAGCTCCCTTGCTCATACATCATAGTTATTGAATAAATGGCTAACAATAAAAAGATAGTGCAAAGTTTTTGTGTTGCGTAGAAGTTTGTGTATATATTCATACAAGTATGTGCTAAAATATATCTGCTAAACACAAACTTAGTTGATTTTGAAATATATGAGTATTAGCTGATAAAATAGAACTTACGTAATTTTTATTTATTTTTGATAATTATATAGAATTTCTTTTTCTTCTTTTGACAACTCAAAATAGGATTATACATAAAAAAAATAAAAAAAAGGTAAAATTATATCGGAGTTCTTTAAGTTATTTTATTATAAAAATAGTGATTTTTTAATTTTTTTTATTACAATTGGATCTTTCAAGCTAACTAATATGTAGATAGTTGATCTTTTTAAAATTCGATTACAAAATTGAATATGTGACATTAATGTGAGTGATGTGTTATTAATGGTGCTTACATGAGTTTTTTATTTTTCTTAGAAATGTAGTTAGAAATTAATTAACATAATTTTTTAAGAGGATTTCTTTTTCCACTCCGTTTTTTTCTCGCGCACTACGCAAAATTTTTTAAATGCCTCTTAAAATCGAAAATATATTTTCGGTGTGCACCAAGATTTAATAAAATATAGACTAAAATCAGAGTTTAATTTTCGGTTTGTACCCGGACTTACATTTCCGATAAGCTGATGAATATAGAGCGGGAAAACAACCCTGAATAAAATCAATTTCACAAATTCAAAATACAATTCATATCATAAAATAGTTAATACATTAAGGATTGAAACATAAATCAAACATTACACTTCAACGTTCAGGTGGATGTTGTAACATCTTGATGATATCATCTACCGATCTCGAAACAGTCGCATCTAGTTCGATCAGAACTTTTGCTTCAAAACAGGTAAAAGTATGTCACATAGCTCGTATATCAGCGTTGTTCCTCAACTCACGGTTGATGAACGCAAGCTTCCCATCTTTGTCACCGGATAGCGAGCGGTGCTCGATCTTCACAACTTTGCGATTGTCGCCATAAGGTAGCAGGTCCTGCAATATGTCTTGCAGATCTTCAAGAGGGATATACTCGGTGAACTTAAACTCTCGTGATGGTGTATTGCCGGTAAAGTTGACATTTTCAACATGCCATTTGATGTTCATTCTGGTTTTTGGTGTTTTGGTATAAAACAATATGCCAAGTGAGGTTATTTATAATAGTTGAAGGGAAACATGGATCTTACAAATCCTATCCCGTGATAGAGTGCAAACAAGAAATTCATTTCCGGTTCCACCTAAATATGTACCAAAAATATATTTTCGGTAAGTCCCCTGGGACTGAAAACCAGAACAGAAACAGAAACAGAAACATACATAGAAACTTAAACAAAAACCTCATGTATTGAAAGATGATATTTTTGGTCAAACTACAAAATGGCTATATTCCACATCATAATACATTGAAAAAATGACATATACAATAAAATGATATATAACTACTTAAATGATCTGAAATAATTATCTCCGACCAAATCTACAGGTGCTACCCCTTTTGACTTTTCCCTATTTTTTTCTATTTCAATTTTTTTCAACTTGTTGTAGTCTTCACTACTACGGAAAACCGAATTAACAACGGTTGGGAAAGATATATAACAATGTGGACCCATGCGTTGTTATGTAGAGTGTCTTTTAATATATGATACTTACAATCACGACCCAGTAGCTGTTGTAATAAACTGGAAAGTGCGCTCTCTATCACAACGATTTTCCAAAAGACCATTGTTATAAAATTAATGGTCCTGGGTTCGATTCCCAATTGCGCCATTTTGATATTTATTTTTTATGGACAACACACGAGATATTATAACAGTTATGACTATAGTCGGTGTTAAATTTTCTGCATAATTAACAAATATTATCCTACTTATATAACTAATCCTATTTTTTAATCTGTATTATTATTCACCATATCACAGCAGAAAATAAAATCCACATTTGTGATAAAGTTATCTAAATAATATTAATTGTATCATATTCATGATGTCACATAATTGTATCATATTCAATTGTACCATAACAAACATCCTGCAATTTATCAGGACAAACAACCTACGATTTACACATTATGTAACATCACATAATTATAACTTGGTATTTTGGTGTCTTGTCTCTTGGTGTTTTGACTCTAAAGACCTATAATTTCAAATGATTATACTTGTTAGTAAAAATACTTTTAAACTATAACATACATGAATATATTATGAATAAATAATAAATTATGTACTTGCTAATTTTCCCAAATGCCTTCTTCGTGATCGATTCGAATAGCATGGACAACATCTCCATCAACTTCATCATATGAGATAGGAACTTGTGTTGTGTAAGAAGGTGTGGACGGAATATCAATACTTTCATCACTAAGAGGAATGTGTTTTCCTTGAAGAACAATTAACCATTTCCCTGATATGTTCGATGGGTCGGTAACATAGAAAACTTATTTTGCTTAAGAAGCCATGATGAATGGTTCGGTCATAAAAGATGCCTTGCCGAGATCGACCCGGGTGAATCCTAAGTTATCAATGTGTATACTATTACTATTATTGAGAACCCACTTACATTTAAATAAAGCCCCTTTAAAAATAACATAATCAATTTCCCAAATCTCATAAATGACACCATAAAACGCGGTAGTTGCCAATATATGATTCTTATCTTTTGAACTAGAGAAATACATCGATTTGGATTCAACCATAACCCCACTATTTTATATTGTACTATGATCATCTTTTGATTTTGTATAAAAGGTATAATGACTAATATAGTATGCATTCTAAGTAATGACATAAAATTTTGGCTCGTACGACAATCATTTAAGTATCTCGGATGTACTACGATCATTAAATACACTTTTATTAAACCAATATATGAATCTATTGTTATGTTGTATCAACAAATACTTGTCACTCATTCAGAGATACTTTTCCTCAAAAGTCTTTTGTGAGTATCTATGAGAGGTTGAACTTCATTTATATTATTCAATATATAGAAATGTGCTTGAATAACTACATCCTGAACTATTGAATTAACATTTAAACCTTGAATACCTCTTTCATCTGAGTGATCAGCGTGACGAGACTTTGGAATGCCTATAGAATCTGCTTCCGACAAATAATTTGTGCAAAACTCAACAGCTTTTTCAGTGATGTACCTTTCAACAATCCAAGCTTTCGGTCGGTGATTATTCTTCGTATATCCTTTAAAGATATTCATATATCGATTTATTGGATACATCCACCTTAAATAAACTGGACCACAAAATCTGATTTCTTTGACTAGATGAACTAGTAAGTGAACCATAATGTCAAAAAATGATGGAGGAAAAATACATCTCCAATTGACACAAGATTATGGAAGCCTCGTCTTCTAAATCATCTAATTTTTTGAAATCAAGAACTTTATTATATATGACATTAAAGAATAAGTACAATCTCGTTATAGTTACTCTCACATTCTTTGGTAGGATCCCACGGATAGGCACTAGTAGAAGTTGTTGCATCAATACATGACAATCATGAGATTTTAAACCAATTAACTTGAGATATCTCATTAATATAAGTTTCTTTATGTTTTATTAGTAACCTTGCATAAATTTAATACCTTGTAAACACTCGCGGGAAATTTTCTTTTCCTTTTTAGATAGAGTGTGACATGTTGGAGGCAGATAAGTTCTTTTTCCTTTCTCTATTGGAGCCAACTGTTTTCGTATACCCATCACCTCCATATCAAGATGGGAAGTCTTACTATCTTTATTCTTGCCTAGAATATTTAGAAGTGTGTCAATCAAACTATCACACATATTTTTCTTCATGTGCATCACATCAAGACAATGTCTAACATCAAGACTTAACCAATATGGAAGATCAAAGAAGATGGACCTCTTTTTCCATATATATTTTGTAACTGCCCCTTTTTCTTTTTCTCTCTTCTTGAATACAATTAATGTTTTCGTGTCGTTGATAAACTTCATCCCTGATTAAAGGTTCAGGAGCCTCATCAAACTCTTTCTCTTCATTAAATGTCTCCCGCAATCTATGATAAAGATGATCAGGTTTTAGAAATTTTCGATGACCAAGGTAAACAGTCTTTTTTCCAAACTCAAGTTGGTTATAACAAGTATTATATTCACAAATAGGACACACTTTATGTCCTTTGGCACTATACCCAACAAAGTTACTGTAAGCACAAAAGTTGTAGATTGTGCAAAATAACATTGCATGCATCTTAAACTTTTTCCCAGAATATGCATCATCAACTTCAACGCCTTCATCCCACACTAGTCTTAAATCATCAATTAATGGACTTAGATAAACATCTATGTCGTTACCTGGTTTTCATGGTCTAGAAATCATCATACTTAACATTATATACTTGCACTTCATGCACAACCAAGGAGATAAGTTGTAAATAGTGAGAAGAACAGGCCACAAAGAAGGATTAGTGCTCAGATTACCAAAGGGGTTCATTCCATCAATGACAAGCCCAAGCCTAAGGTTTCTTGGCTCAACTCCAAAATCCGAAAACAACAAATTAATTTTCTTCCATTGCAACAAATCAGCTACATGGCGAATGTTTCCATCACGAGTCTTTTCATCTGCATGCCATCTAAGATTCTTTACGTCATTCAAATTAGAAAAAATTCTCTTAAATAGTGAAATTATTGGCAAGTACCATAACACTTTAGCAAGAGGATGCTTCCTACTAACATTTTCATAGTCATTGTCATCACCATTGTTGGCCTTCAGCTTGTAACGCAACACACTATATTTAGGACATTGATACAAGTCTTTATACTCTTTCCTATATAATATG